TTGTATATGCACATACACAAGCAAAGGCACAAAATTTTGTGTACAAATCTCAAATCTCCCAGATCTCCTGAAGTCCTTCCATGATTATCCCGGTGGGGCATGAACCCAAGCTGAGATCATGTGAGTTAACCAACCCCATATTTTTAAAATTAAAAAAATTAAAAACCTGAAGTCCAGAAAGATTCCAGCAGGATTAAGTAACTTGCTCAACAAAACACTTTTGTCAGTTAGGAACGAAACCCCTATCATCTGACTCCTAGTTAAATTCTATTTCCCCAAGTAGCTTTTATTTCTGTCTTCCATTGTCTCCATGGTAAAAGAGGATGTTACTTGCCTACTTCATGGGATTCTTATGTGGAATATTTACTACAGCTTTTGCACATCATAAATATTTGGGCCAGGTACAGTGGCTCACACCTGTAATCTCAGTACTTTGGGAGGCCGAAATAGTTGGATCACTTGAGTCCAGGAATTTGAGACCAGCCTGGGCAACATGGTGAAACCTCATCTCTACAATACAAAAATTCGTCGGGTGTGGTGGCACAAGCCTGTACTCTCAGCTACCCAGGAGGCTGAGGTGGGAGGAGCATCTGAGCCCAGGAGGCAGAGGTTATAGTGAGCAGAGATAGCGCCACTGCACTCCAGTGCACTCCAGCTCAGGCAACAGTGAAACCCTGTCTCGAAAATAAATTAATCAATTGATATTTGCAAATAATTCCTCCTCACAAAACTTTGATGCTTGTGATTATTTGTATAACAGCTACCCTAATTACAGATGAATTAGGCAAATCATCCTTTAAAAAAAAAAACCTTGTACTGTTATTATTACTAGGCAAATAGTCACTGGTATACAACAGTTCTTACATTGTGTACTCAGATTTGGCTATGATAAACTCAACACAGCCCAGGAGGGGTGGCTGACGCCTGTAATTCCAGCACTTTGGGAGGCCAAGGTAGGCAGATCACCTGAGGTCGGGAGCTCAAGACCAGCCTGACCAACTTGGAGAAACCCTGTCTCTAAATAAATAAATAAAAGATAAACTCAACACAGCTACAGCCCAAATGATGTTTTATAAAACACTGACAAAGGCTAAGGTTATAGTTTTAGTCCCATCTCTATTTAGAAGAGTGTAGAAATATTTTCCTCAGGGGGAAAAAATGAAATGTAGACATGGTTTGGGGTTTTCGGGCGGGTTGCTGTTTGGTTTTCCCAGGTGCCCCAAATTAAACTAACTCACACTTTCTGGCTATCACTCAAACTGAGTTGACTTGGCTACTGCTTTCCCAGATCCTCTAAAAACTAAAGGATTTTCTTCTGGCATTTTAATCAGTGATTAACTACTCCCTTCTTTTTCCTGCTGGGTTAAGTAAAAGATCCATATGCCGGGTGTTCTAGGGAATTTGTTAGGCTATAGATCACAGCCATGGTGCAAGACATGATGTGTCTCAAGGGACCTAAAGAAGCCATAAGGAATGTCAAGAGTCACCGGGTTAAAGCCACATTAAGACAGCTGTTACGTTAATGAAGGCCCTGCTTGGAAGAGGAGGTTGCCGTATGGAAAAGTATGAACCACTCTTTATTGGTTTGATCCCATGTCCTCTGAAAGTTAATGGGACATTATTATTATCCTTTGACATTCACTGACCCGGATGAGAATGCTGAGTACTATATAAGCTACATGGGTTTAAAATATATTCTGTCTCCATCCTCAGTTTTGACAAAGGCAGGAATGAAAGTGACCAGTATCGAATCTCCTCAATTTTCCATCACACTTCTTGTCTGATCTCTACAATAAATGTTTATTTTTTTGACTCACACTGAGTTCAGAGCTGATACTTGGCCTATCTTAAAAATAGATCTGGTGCCAGTGTCTCACATCTGTAATCTCAATACTTTGGGAGGCCAAGGAGGGAGGATCACTTGAGTCCAGGAGCTCAAGACCAAACTGTGCAACATAGCAAGACCCCATCTTTACAAAAAAAATAGCAAAATAATTAGCTAGACATGGTGGCACACACCTGCAGATCCAGCTACTCTAGAAACTGAGGCAGAAGGATCACTTCAGCTGGGAAGATGGAGGCTACCCAGTGAGCTATGATTAAGCCAGTGTACTCCAGCCTGGGCAACAGAGTGAGACTCTGTCTCAAAAAAAAAAAACATCCAGTAGATTGGACTGGCCAGTTACAGAGGACAGGTACCAAATCCTGGAATATAGTGGTCACTCAAAAGAGGAATGATGGGACCTCACCTAATATTTGCAGGTAATCGCAGAACTATAATAAAAGCAAAATCGATTTGAAACATATTATTTATAACATTGTTATATAGAATATTATACTATTATAATAAGATTTAATTTCTCTGCCCATTTCATTGAGATACAGGGTTTTTTTCTCCACTGCACAGTATAGAAATGACCTCCATTAACCACAAATCATGATCTTATATTAATATGCATATTAAGATCATTTTAATGATACAGTAATATTAATGTTATGTTAATATACTATCCATATAGTGTTATAATATTATATAATATTATTATATCAATACTGTATTGAAATAATTTTATATTGAAATACTATAATTTAGTGAATAAAGGTCATTTCTACTCGGTGTGATGGGGAGAAACACTCTGTTTCCCAATGATAATAGGTTTCCCAACTTTAAAACATGAACCTTGGTGTATCTGTGACTTTTCCTTTCACTCACCTTCCCCCCCACTTCTAGCTTCCACAACCAGATGCCCATTCTACCCCTGAATACCTTCCACTACCATCTCTTCCTTGCCAGTCTCACTGCCACTCCCTATCTCAAGCCACTGCCTATCACATCAAGTGTGAACTCAGTAGCCTGAAACCCAAGACCTCCACAGGCTGTCCTCAGCCTAGCTACCAAACCCTATTTCTTCCACGACCCTACCACTCCTTACATTCTAATCAAACTAGTCCCCCAATATGACTAGAGTGAAAATGAAAGGTCATCATATACGTAGCCCAGCACTTCTGTCTCTCTGTGCCTCTGCTCATATAATTCCCTATTATTAGTATACTCTTTTTACTCAGCTGGTCCAATGAATATCTATCCAGCCTGGAAAGTTCATCTTAAATCTGCCCTCTGGGCCCAGCCCAGTAGTTCATGCCTATAATCCCAGCACTTTGGGAAGCCAAGACAAGGGGATTGCTTGAACTTGGGAGTTCGAGATCAGCCTGGGCAATGTGGCAAAACCACAAAAAATTATCCAGGTGTGGTGGCATGCACCTGTAGTCCCAGCTATCTGAAAGGCTAAGGTGGGAGGATCACCTGAGCTCAGGAGGCATGATTGTACGCTCTCAATGAGCTGTGATTGTACACTGCACTACAGCCTGTGCTATAGAATGAGACCCTGTCTCAAAAAAAAAATAATAATTAAATCTGCCTTCTTCATGTACCTCTCTTTATTCCTTCAAGATCTCATCCCTTGAGTTCATATCTTTTTCAGGGACATGGATGAAACTGAAAACCATCATTCTTCAGCAAATTAACACAGGAACAGAAAACTAAATACCGTACATTCTCACTCACAAGTGAGAGTTGAGTAATAAGAACACATGGACACAGGGAAGGGAACATCACACACTGGGGTCTGTCAGGGGTGAGGGTCTAAGGGAGGGACAGCATTAGGAGAAATACCTAATGTAGATGACTAGATGACGGGTTGATGGGTGCAGCAAACAACCATGACACATGTATACCTATGTTACAAACCTGCATGTTCTGTACATGTATCCCAGGACTCAAAGTGTAATAAAAATAAAATAAAATAAAAAGATCTCATTTTTTCCTCTTCTCAACTCCCACTGCACTTTTTCTCTTTCTGTGCTTATCACATCTCTGTTAATTTTTAATTATTTGTATGTTTACTTTTCTACCTTTCTTAGATGGCAGGTCCTTGAGAGAACTGTCTTAATTGATCTTAGCATTCCTTGACTTTCCTAGCACTATGATGATCATATAAAAGTTTGAATAAAACAATCTCTCTGACTGGGCTCTGAAGACTGGAAGAGGCTATTTCTGAAAAATTCTGTAGCAGGACAGTTAATTAGCTGCATCTTTGAAAGCGTTGATCAATCTAGGGACCATGTCAACTGACTAGTTCACTGCTGAGTCCCCAGCCTGCAACTTAAGTATCTGGAAATAACACACAATACCTGCAGACAAGGTAAATTCTGGGGTGAGGAGTTCCAGGATACCCTAAGAAGTCTGCCATCTTTCAATCAGTGTTTGACTAACTCCAGGTGGATGTTCCTCATTAATGATGAAAACATTATGCTATACTCAATAGAAACACATTATATCTTAGTAGCCTTTTCCAGAAGGTTCAGAGCACCTCCAAGAGTTCAAAAGATAATTCAACATGTTCTTTAAGTAACATAATTACTTGAAATGCTTCTTAATTATAAAATCCTTAAAGGAAGGAATTTCACATTATACACCTTTGCACATTTTCATAATTGAAAGGTCACAGAGATGAAGCGTGGATCCAACTATCTCTATACTCACTTTGCAGCTGCGCCACCTCAGGTAGTCACTTACATAGTCTAAGTCCCAGTTTCCTTATTTGTAAATGGAGAGTAGCAATCACAGTACTCACCTAGGGTTTTAATAATGATTTAATGGGTTAATTTATGTGAAGCACCTAAAGTAGTGGCTGGGACAGAGTAACAACCTAAAATTTATCTGCTCTTACTTGTGTATCACCCCTAAAGTCCATAGAGTGCCTGGTGTGCAATAAGGATTCCTGAAATGTTAAGTAAGTAACGTGAAGTGGTGCACTACTGCGTGTCATAAATGATACAGTTGCATTCCGTCAGTAACAGAGTCTTAACAACATGCATCCCTAGTAAAGGGACACTCCTAACATATTTTTGGTAGGGCTTGAAATACGCTTTAGATGAGAAGATGCTTGTTTGTTTCCTGTCTGGACTGAAATAGGACACGGAGGTCTGGGCATCAATACCTGTACTCGGGCCTCGGTGAGCTTCGCCCTCTGGGCCAGTTCCTCCCTGGTATAAATGTCAGGGTAATGAGTTCTCTCAAAAGCACGCTCCAGTTCTTCAAGCTGTTCTGCTGTGAAGGTGGTCCGGCTTCTGCGCTGTTTCCTCTTTAGTGGTAAATCTGGTTCAGAGTCAATATCAGAGCCTTCATCTGATTGGGGTGCTGAAGCTAAAAGCACAGAAGAAAAAAAAACAATAAAATGTGAATTAAAAAACAAAAACTAAGGTTGAATCCAAGTTCTCTCCCCGACTGCAAGATCTCATTACGGTGGTCCCTATAACTCAAATAAAATAAATGTGGATCAAAAAACAAGTCTGACCAACACATAATAATTCCAGTCTTAGTCTATAATGCATTCCCAATGTCTTCCATGGACACCAAGCTCCCCCATGCAGTCCTGTATCATTAAATAATATTGAATCCCTTCCCCTGCTCTATCTTTCTGCCCCCTAGGCAGAAATAATTGCTCACAGCATCAGTCATTCGAGGCCAATTATGAGCTCTTAGAAAACAGGGACAGGATTTTTCATATGGTCCTCTACTTACTACTTACTGGGTGCTTCCTTCGCGTCTAATGAAAAAACATTTAGTTTTGTTTCTGATAAATTTTCACCAGCCTTTACACTAGGAAATCTGTTCAGTGTGATTTTTAAAAATATTCCAAACTTGACTTAGTACCTAAGAAGCCAGTAACAGTAAACTATTGCCAGATTCCTATATATTTATAGACTCTACTGCTCACAAAAATGATATTTAAATTTAGTATATCATTATCAGATAAGGGAAAATATTTTAAAGAAAATGTACGTACTATTAAAATGTCAGTCTCTAGAACTGACCTGAGAAGAAGCAGGCATTGTCTAGTGAACTGTCCCTAAACAGAAGTTTAGAGTCTGGGTCTCTGCTGAATAGATGGGCATCTGTCCAGAACAGCTGCTTTATTTAAGAAACTCAATGCAAAAAACATGTACAGTCCCTTTCATAAAAAAAAATATTACAAGCTCCAAGAAGGCAACAACAGATTATTAACCCAAGCCCAGAGCCATTCTGAGTGTGTGGCCCTGAGCAACTGCATAGGACAAATGCCCCTGAAGCTACCCTGTGGTGGCCTAAGACACACAAAGCTTGTGTGTATTTGCCTGTGTTCATATGTGGAAGGGAATTTCAAAATTGAGTGGGCAGGTACACAGGCAAGAAAAACGGGAAATGGGAAATTAGATAGAAATTACTTTAATGATACTATACAGTTAGTACTCCTGTAAGAACAGGGTCTGCATCTGTGGCTGCGACTAGCAAAGCTTGGGTACAAGTGGTTCCATTTCCAGGCCAGAATTTGATGAGGGCAGGGGTGGAGCAGGCATTTTTCCTGTTTCTGCTAGGAATGCGTTAGGGATCACATAGCGATAATAGAGCAACCGTGATAGTAATAGAGCAATGTTGCTAGAGAGGGTTCTGCATCGGACCAGGGCTCTGGGCAGGAAGAGCAGCCCTCTCCAGGGCCCCAGGTACTGGAGTAGTGGGCAAAGGTCTGTCCAAGGGTTATCAGGCCACAGACCCTGAACCTAGACAGGGAACCAGAGCAGCCTGGCTCTTGAACACATCCAAATGTACTCTGAAAATTCTCCCAAATAACTAAGGGATCCTGTAAAGAAGCGGCTGAGGTTACTGTCAGCAAACATGACAGTAAGCCAGAAAATTGTAGATTATTAATGTCAGTGTCATGCTAACTCATTTGCACCCTCAGGCTGGTAGAATCTGGGGAAATCCACGTGGCACTAGAAGCAATGTGAAAATATGTAAGTCCTAACCTTCTAATTCTCTTTTATCTTAAACTCCAATCTAACTCTGCCCTACAGAAATCTAAAATTTCATTCTATTTCAGTAGAAATTTTAAACTGCCCAAAATGATACACATCCGAAATGAACCCATAAATGTGATTTTCAGTTTTCTAACATTTTAATACTTCCACACTATTCACATCTAAACATCACGCAACTAAGAGGCAATAGAGTGAATTAATAGTGTATGTAATAAAATTGTTTTAAATATATCTGAAAATAAACACGTGCATAAAAACAAAAGTATAATCTGTAACGCATTTAATATGTGTTAGATATATATGATTTTTCAATTATCTAATTTAATAGAAAATGTTTTCATTTAACATAAATTTTATGTTAGGATATTTTAGTATTAACTTAAAGAAGGAAAAATAGACTTTCTCTTGCTATAGCAGTATTTTAAAGGACTATTTACATGCTAAAAAAATATGCCATGCCTTCCATTATAAACTCCAAAAGCTCCCAATGCAGCTTATATGCGTATATGATTGATAAATGCTTACATTTATAAAAGCTAAACTAAATGAACGATAATTTGTGCCAAGTGATGCAGCAGTGTTTCATAAACTTTTTTGGAGTATTAGAATCACCTGGAGGGCTTGCTAAAACATAGACTGGTGGCTCCCCTTCCAAGGCTTTGACTCGGCAGGTCTGACATAGGCTCCAAGAGTTTGCATGTCTAACACATTCCCAGGTGATTGATGCTGATTCTACTGACCTCAGACAACACTGAGAACCACCTCTATAGAATATCCTAGATTCATTCTTGCCACTCTCAAAATGTTCAACTCTATAAAATACATCTACCACAATTAACTGAAAAAGTCACTCCCACGTATATATTTTTAAATTGCGAACGATATGCTCCCTAAGAAACAAATTACTTATTCCCCTAAGAAGACAATAAATTTCCATAAAATATTTTCCTTCCATGCTTCCAGTTTCTAAGCTTTCTTTCCAAAGTGAATTCAGGTGAAACACTCAATAGCATTTAAAGACTGACCAAAAGCTTCCTCTGCCCAAGAGGACCCTAAATCTCTGCTTGCACATTCTCTTACTGTGATCCCATTAGGATAATAACATGTAGATATTTTCATGTTTCCTTTGGGAGTCTCTGGGGTTATTAAATTCTTTCAAGTAAATATGATGTGCCATGCACTGTCAGGTCAATTAATCAAAATCATCTGCGGTTTCTGAAGAAAAAGACTGGTTAGATTTACAAGCACCAGCGAGAATTAATCCTGAGGGTCAAGACCACAGTGTTTCATCTTAACAATCAATATTTCCCAGAATATAAGCTGGGTGATCTCAAAGCCCTTCTCTGCCTTGTTCACTGCTGGAACCCTCAGAACACAGTAGGTGCTCAATAAGTACATGTTGAATGAACATTAAGTGTGGGACAAACTTCAGATTTGCTCCAACACTGATTTTTTTTGCCACTGTTTTACATCTTTGTGTTTAAAATGGAAAGTCTGCTGTTATGGCATCTCCCAACCTCTATTCAGATGGGCTTTGGAAGTCTGTGTACCCTCAACAATCACTCTGAATGCTTAGCCTATATTTGTATACCTGTGTTGTTTGGGAAAATGATTACCAATTTTTTCATTGTGATTTTTTTTAAAGATGAAAACTAATACAGCTAGTAATGCAAAAGCCTCAGAATTTGGGACAGAACACCTGTCAAACGGGAATCCAGGTATCCTAAGGTGAGTTCAGGGAGGACAGAAACCTTCAGTGGAAGAGAAGGACAAACATTCCCTTGATCCTTTCAGTACAAATATAGGCCATGAAAGCAGGGCCTGGTGATTCTTTAAAAGAAAAAAAAAAGGGCTCAGAATTTTTAAGAGTTCAATAGGACAGCCGTGACCACCAAAAATAAAATTATCTTTAACAAGCTTACAAATCACGACTCTTACTTCTAGACTATTTATTCAAAAGCAATGGAAAGGTTGCATCTAACTGGGAAAACCACCATATAGCATAATTTCAGAAGATGTTGAGGAAATGATTTGCCTGATTTTTCAGCTGGAAACTTATTTGAGAAACCAGATAATTTTTGGCAATATAAAGCCACAATCTTACAAGTTGATTCCAACTTTTCCCCATCTGTAAACCTCAAAGGGATGTGGGCTTTAAAATATGTAAAATCAGCAACCCAAGATTAATCTGCCAGCTAGGAGAAACTAGCTATTTCTAGACATGGAAATACTACTATTTCTTATGCCATTCAGGAGAAATAAAATTTCCCATTCTAAGAGCACATAAGCGGCCCACTTTGTTGGATTTCATCTATTTTATATATTCAGTTTTACTTAAGCTACTAGAACAAATTAGATACTAGGTATAAAGAATCTAATTCTAAATATTACACAGAAAGTGAAACAAGGCTCTCTTTCAGGAAGTTTAATAGAAATAATATCTTTTTTCTGTATAGAATATCGAATGCTATGATTTGGAAACCACAAATGTGTTAACAGGACAGTTGTGTCCATGCGTTAATAAATTGCCAGGATTCAACAATTAGATTAAATATAAACTCTTTGGACTATGGCTACTGTAAAACCTTAATATTAAGGGAGATTTTGAATCACACTTAAGTTGCTCAATCATATTTTACAGATTACTTCACAAAGAAAATTTGCTTTATTTCTAGAGATACTGTTCCCAAATTTGGAAATTCCAGAATAGATCTCATAAGAAAATTCATATCAATACATCATGCACAGCCTTCTAAGTGGAAATTTCATTGCTTTAAATTTCAAAACAATTTGCAGATTCTATCCCAATCTATATTGTTATCAGATTTCGAATTTTTTTACTCTATTATTAAAACCTCTTTACAATCGATTCTCTGACTTACACATTAGCTTAATTCAACATCACCAATAACCCTGGAAAGAAAAGCTTTCCAGGAGAACGAGGATTTCTCTTCCTTCACTCACAACTGCACAGCAACCCAGGAATTAGGTTCTTATCCCACTGTGAAGAAAAAGGAAACTGAGTCTCCAAGAGGTTGGTCATACAGCTAAGGAAACTAGAATTTGACCCAGGTCTATGGGACATCAGAGGACATAGTTGCTTGCTTGCTTCTAGCTTAGAGTATCTTAAATGAGTGTTGTGTCTTTTATCACACATGAGTGCATACGTGCGCGTGCGTGTGCGCACCCACACACACACACACGGGCCATTTGAAGAGGCATAACAGAAATGAACAAATACAGGAATTCAAATGCCAATCACTTAGCTAATAACCACTATTGCTACTATTTATCCCAAATTTTCAAAAACTGCCCTGAATAAAATGAAATTTACAGAACTACTGGAGT